GTTACCTACTCAGCCCCTAAGGTATGAACCCCCTAAAACCCCGAAACCCGTGTCTTCCCCAACACCCTAACCCAGAACCCAGAACCCTAAACCCTAAAACCCTAAAACCCTAAAGCCCCAAACCCTCAACCTTAAATCCTAACCCCGAATCCTCAACCCCAAACCCTAAAACCTTACACCCTAAAACTCTAAACCCCACAAACCCGAAACCCTAAAACCCGAAACCCAAAAACCCTAAACCCAAAAACCCTAAACCCTATAAACCCGAAACCCTAAAACACGAAGCCCTAAAACCCTAAACCCCAAAACCCTAAGCTCCTAAACAAACCCTCAAGAGCAGAACAACTCGAATCACCTAAACCCTAAACCCTAAACCCTAAACCCTAAACCCTAAACCCTAAACCCAATCGCTGGGTACACCGGCCCAGGGAGCTGCAGCCAAGAACAGGTCCTGGGGCCAGCGCTTCACAAATTCTTGGGGGTGTTTAGGGTTTTGAGGGCTTTTAGGGTTTTTCGGGATTCTCGGGCTTTTCGGATTGTTTCAGGCTTTTGTGGTTTTTAGGATTCTTAGGGTGTTTACGGATTTTCGGGCTTTGGGGGCTTGTAGGGCTGAAAGGGCTTACAGGGTTCCGGGGGCTTTCCTTGGGGAGTTTTAGCCTTCAGGGGATGGCTGGGTTGAATTATGGGCTTAGGGATATCTTCTGAGCTAGGATTAGGGGGACCCTTGGGGATATAGACCCTCTTAATAAGGTCCCCTTTAAGAGAGCCATAAGTAAGGTTAAGAAGGGTCCCCTTTAAGGGGCCTCCCTAATACTACCTGGGGTTTATGGGCGTCAGCATCCGGGGCTTCAACACGCTTGAAGGAAAGCCAGCGACTCCTTCTACTCCCCCCTCCCTTCAAACACAAACGGAAGCGGCGTCCTCTTGCTTCGCGTCATCCAAGATCCTGTCAACTTTGAACTTTCGCGATCGTCCCAGCGAGTCCTGGACCATCTCGGGGGTTTTCGGGTTCAAAGGTTGCAGCCTATCGCGCTCCCGTGCTGCCTGTGCTAGTGGTTCGTACCCTGCCTCGGTTCAAAGATCAGCTCTGTACACCCTAAGAAGTCAAACAGGAAGAGGCCATAGTAGCCAGTACGTAAGGGCCGTAAGGGTGAGGTCTCTCAGATCCCCCCGAAACTATACAGATCCGTATACATGGAAGAGCTCGATTCAGCAGAGAGCTCCGAAAGGCCTCCGAAAGGCACGAGAAGGGCCCGACCTAGAAATGGTACTGTGCTAGTCCGGCTCGTGCCTGGCTTCTGACGTCCCATCACCCTCGAATTCGGCGAACAGTGTTTAAATTTAGGATTTAGGATATGGCAGCTCCTTCGGGCTGTAAGAGGCACCTGGACCTCCTGAAATAAAGGGCAGACAAAGAAGCCATGACGGGTTCAGCACGGCTCGGTATACAGCCGACGTGCGCAATCAAGATCCCCATAATTGCTAGCCATGAGCTACTCAAACCCTACACACCCTAATGTAGGGGCCTAATAAGTAATTACCTACACTATTTTGGGGTTCCTTATTACAATAATGGGCCCCAAAAACCCTATTCTAGTCATTAAGGCTCCGATATTAATCCCTAGGCCCTAAGCACATACTACGCAACATGAGTGAGACTTAGAAGTGAGACTTACAACACACCGGAACAGGATTTTAGCAACGAGCAAAATTTCCGTTCCTCAAACCCCCAAGCCCGAAACCCTACCGCCCCAACACCCTTAAGCCAAATAAAGGATTCATAAATCATGTTTGTTGCCCGGCCTCCACGGTAATCTCGGTGCCATCCACGGACAAAGCTCTCGTTCCGAGTTCCGACTCCTGCCGACGCGAAGGGCTCTTGCAGGGTTCGATGCGGATCCAGAGAGAGAGAGAAGCTCCTACAAGATCCGTGTATGGGGGTCTATAAGCTATAAACCCTAAACCCCTGAACCCTAAGGCCGGAAGCTCTAAAGCCTTAAAGCCTAAACCCTAAAGCCCTAAACCCCCAAAGTCCAAAACCCTAATTCTGGTCTTGCTAGCGGTGTTTTTCAAGAAAGATGCAACGCTGGCTCTCACACCAGACGCAATAGGATCTCGGGTTTGGCGTTTTGGCTTTCAGGGTTTAGGGCTTAGGGGTTTAGGGTAGATCGATTAAGATGTAAGGTGTGTTTGCGTTCAGACAATTTAAGCCGGGTATGGCTCGGGGCTGCTGAAGTCTCAAGTGAAAGGTTAGATCCCTCTGGCGAAATTTGAATGAAGTCCCTCTCAAAGCGCTGTTGTTCAACCTTTATAACACCTTGTAGCCCGTCTAAGAGTCCAGATGTCGCCAAAAAAAAGGGAGAACCCACGGCAGACCTTGTAGCTGCTCAGTGGCCGTGTGCGGCAGGCAGCACTCACGGGGGTTAGTACCTCGACGGCGGCGGACAGACACCTCTAAAGACTAGACCCTGAACTCCAAATACCCAGCCCTACCCATTCGCTAGACACTAAACCATAAACCTCGGAATCCAAGTACCTACTGCGGCTTCCATCTCGTGTAGATTTTCAGGGTGAACGTGGGGCGTGGAATTTCCTGTTGGTGGCTATGTTTAAACACCCATAAGCGGTTTTTGGAGGAACATAGGTCTTTAGGATCTGTGGGGTAGAAAATAGCTTAGGGTTCCATAATCTGGGTAGTTCTCTAGATCATAGGGTCCCTTTTCCGTTCCCAAATAGTACGGCACAAAACAGGGCCCCTTGAAGTGACCCTAACTTAGAGAACTATCCATACAACCGCAAAATCATGTACTCCCAAATCCCGATGCTAACACACCCTGAAGAACTAGTCCTTGGGGTTCCTTGACCCTAAGGCTCAAAAATAGCCCAAAAGCCTCATATAGCGTGGTCTCTAGGCTCAAAAGCCTGAAGATACTGCTGATGGACAAAATCCTGCATGACCCAAATATAGTATAGTACCATAAATCACAAAGTTTAGGTATAATAAGGTCATGCAGGATTTTGTCCATCAACAGTATGAGTCCTTAGAGCTCTAGGGGAATTCCGAAAAAAAGACTATCCCCATCGATCAAACTTGCCAGATCTCAGAGGACTGGCCCCCGGAGACCAGATCGTCTGCGTGCGGCGCTTTAAGAGTTCGGTTTAGGGCTTCAGTGTTTTAGGGTTTTAGGGTTCAGGGTTTAGGGCTTCAGTGTTTTAGGGTTTTAGGGTTCAGGGTTTAAGGCTTCAGTGTTTTAGGGTTTTAGGGTTCAGGGTGTACGGTTTGGGAGCCTGGTTTCGTTTTTTGAGGGTTCTGAAACCTCACAACCTAAGCCGGAGACCTGGACGCAAAAAAAACCAAGCTCCCAATCCCACACGGCAGACCCCTAAACCTGCGCTTGAATTCCAAATCCCCAAATCCAAAACCCCCTAAGAAAGAACATAACGCCCCAAACCCTGCATTGTGATATCAACAGAACCTACAGTGAACCTACCAAACACACTAAGTGAAACAGAACGACCCGAAACTTTAACCATGAGCCCAACACTGCACAGAGGGCACCGAACTCAGATGCGCAGACAGCGCCGCAACTCGGCGGCGGAGCTGGCAAACCTCGAGGAAAACAACCCCGAGCAGAGGCCCAGAGAGACTTTATGGTTTTGGAGTTGAGGGCAACCCTAAACTAGGTCCCTCACTACCACCATATGGATAAGGGTGCCCTTCTTCCTACTATTCAGTTTTGATAGAAAGACCCCACAACAAAAAGGGCGACGGTGTAGCAATGGGAGACCTAGTAAACCATAGCCAGGGTGTAGCTTGAGGTTTAGGGCTGTGCGGTTGGGGCGGTTTGGGGTACTTGAGGGTTGAGCTGATTTAGGTCGGGTAGTTTCGGGTCTGGGGCTCCAGCGGGTTTAGGGTGATCAGGGTTGAAGCTATCTCAGCATACAAGCACAAACCCTAAACTGTGAAGAAGCCCCTGTACCATGTCGGCTGTACAACTTGAAAGGTGGAGGATGTAGAGCCCAGAGTCACACGCCTTGCAGCTGCAGCAACAATCGCAGGGTTTAGAAGTCATGCTTCTGACTTGATAGTAGTCAATCATCGTTGCAACACTGACAGTAATAGCAGAAACCGACCATCTTGGAAGCAGATATGCCCAAAAAGCAAGTACAAAGATAAACGGTCTTGCTAAAACCCTAGACCCGACACCTTCAACCTGAAACCCAAAACCCAGAACCAAACCAAAAGCGTCAACTGATCCACGAGTGGCCTCGACCCGCTCAACCTCGGATGCTGCCTGCAGAAAACTGTCTGCGGGTTTAGGGTCTAGGGCTTCAGGGTTACGGCTTTGGGTATTTTAGGTAGAAAGATTTGCTTAAGGTTTAATATAGGAGCCTTAATAATTCCCCAAACAGCTTTAGCTGA